CGACTGATTATTAAATCAGCCACATCTCGGAACATTAACATTGGATCTGGATTATCGCCCACACCACAACCTGTATCACCAGAGTTCACAGCCAATAATCTATAGAAGATATTGCACAAAGAACAAACAAGTGTTTCTGAGATCATTTACATAAACTGTATGAAATTCAGTAAATTTAAATATGATGTCAATGGTTTGAGCAATAACTAACTCTGTAACAAATTTTATAATAAACGATTGAATGACTCAATATGCAATGTAAATACAAGAAAACACAGATTATCACTAGTAGTTTAATAATTCTGTTATTCAGTAATCTTATTTAGTAAGCTATGCATCTACTGAACCCCTTAAAGTATTTAACTATTTGTTGCATGTTTAAGAAGTGTACTTCCATTCACTTCCAATTAGATGAGTTTCTATTGATCACTTTGTAGTGCCAGTGAAACGTCACCGATTCATAGCCAAATCATCCGGCAGTTGGGTGACTGAATATTGAACAGATCGTCGATCGCTGTCAAGGTCAAGGAAAAACAACGCTCGTCAGTTGATCATATGCCATGGACTGGCGCATGTAGTGGTAATGGTCTCGCTATCTTCTCTGTATTCATTCTTACTAATATATTTCCTTAATAACATCATTTGTGTTATACGGTCTTCAAAGCAGCCATAGTACTTTTAAACGTCGAAGAAGTAATCCACGTTAGATGTTAACCGCAAGATGTGACTTAGAATTTAGCTAGTTCGTCACATCATTCTCATCTAACTCTAGTAGGTCTCTAATCATTCGACATTGATAATCTACGTTTGTGATCTACAACCTGGTACTTTAACACTACCGAGATGACACAGCATTATAGATAATGGAAAGTATCACTGATTTACATTAAAGCAGATAAAGGTGTACATTCGTCTCTGATAAAATTCTGATTACCACTTTGATTTAAACGACAAAACATTCATCAACATTAACAATCAATAACGAACCTACTTTTCTTTTCCACTTTCCTTAATCCACTTGTTCATTTCTTCTCTTACACCTTCAACAAATTTCACACTTCCATTTCTATATAATTGAGAATTAGGACAGTTTTCCAACCATGTTGAACTGAGCTAAATATACAGATAGAGTAAAAGAAAAGAGAATAGTTTATAAAGGGACAAACAATTATCATTGAATTATCATTCGTAGACTTACGTTGCTTTGTGTTCCTTTTTTTTCTTCTTCTTCAACAAAAAATGCAGCATTATCTAGGAGAATTCCATCTATTCCTTCTTTCATCCAAAAGTGGGTCACATCCTATCGGTAACAATACAATTTAATAAGTGGATTCATTGAAACATACAAATATTGCTTTCTGAGTTTCGGAAGAAGTTAAATCTAGATCTATGCTTGGATATTCAAAAACTGAATAGTATTTTTGATGACTAATATTCACGTCCAATCGATTTCCATATCGTGACTTCTTTATGTAGATAAAGTGTAAAGAGACTATAGAACAATGAAAGTAGTTTTACCTTGTTCTTAAAGTCATCATCAAACAACGTCAGTTTGACTTTGTTCTGTATGATCCATTTATGACTGATGGATATCGCATTGAAATCGAATGTCAAGATAACTTTTATATCCTTTTTATGAAATTGTTTTAAAAGAATACGAAAATCATCCATTGTACCGACTGCCTCATCTAGCTGCTCGTAATCTTCCACTAATCCGAGTATATTGTATGAATTAGTGTAAAATCCTTTAGTAATGGGACCTAATATCACATATCCTGCACCGACTACAGTTTTGATGTAATCTACTTCAGATGTGAGACCTATTAGGATAAAATCATCATTTGAGTGATAGAGGTTTTACACTAATACTGATTACCGTTTAGATCTCCGACTAAATCGCCAGAAGAGTCTTTAAATGCAAACACATCTAACCAGTAACCAACTGTTGATTTCCAAAATGGTAATTTGGGCACAGATGGGCATTTTTGTCCAAAAATGATGTAAATAATACATGCTGCTAAAAGACCAAAAAATATAATCCCAAATCCAATTAATAATCCTATTCGAATACATCTCCAACGAGGTTCAGTTTTGTCTAAATTAATCAGATCTTCACGAGTGAGTAGACGACTCTCTAATTGAGATTGCTGTTCAAGTAACTTTGACGAACAATTCGTTGGATCTTCTTCTTCTTCTGTCAATGTCTTGTCAAAGTTCTTTGAATAATCATACTTTCTATATTCTTTATCAATACTGATTTTTGTAGTTGTTTCTTGTTGATTCATTTTCTTAATCAATTTCTATCATCTCAACTACTAAATTCTCATTTTTATATTACCGCAATATTATTAAATTGTGTTTAAATAAACTGATACAAATATTTTTTTTTTGTTTTAAAAACTAAAATGAATGAACTGATATCCCGGGTTATTATTGATTGATTATGATTGGATTATTGATTTATGATTGATAAGTGGATTGTAATTTGATGTGCAAAAAAGGGGGGGGTGGGACTGATATACATATTTTGAAAATTAAAAAAAAAAGATCAAGCTATAATGTATAGTAGTTTGTTCACATGCAATTCATTTTGTTTACATTTCATTTGGTTAAGCCATTTTGTTAGCTTATTTAACGGATAGAGTCATTCGTACAATAACAACTTATCTTAGATGATTGTACCTTTATTATTGTTGCACTTATATGAATATGTATACTTAAGCATTGTTTACTGACTACGCATATGTTCATACTGCTAGCCTTACTATTAGTCGCTTAAATGATTCAATCATTTAACTATGTATAAATATGTACATTTTGATCCTGTTCATTAATTCGCTCACTCGCTTGCTCTCTAGATTTTCGGCATTACTCTTTCATCCTTGCTTCGTATTCACCTTCTGATTAATACACCATTGCGGGGATTTTCTAATGACGGTTATCAGGACGAACTGTATACAAAGTTTAAGGATTAGGCTGAATGTCGACCATTTTGAAAACAGCAAGCTTAATTTGTTTTCATCGTATCATTTCAATTATCCAAATTTGAGGAGAATTTCGTCAAATTCAGGAAAGTCATATTAGATATTTTGGAGATTCACTGTGGGAAAAGTGCATTAAAATGACTCAAGTTTCCACTGACCTCTAGTTAGTCATTACATCCCCTCATATTTCCTCAGACTATAAAAAGAATCTCACAATCCTACAAATTTCCTCACATTTGAGTGATTCAGACATGTTTAGTGCCAATTACAAAATGATTGAAACGGTATGTAATATACAGAAACCCTTCATAGAAATGTTTTATTACAACAACATACATATGCAGTGATGATTGAAAATGACAACTTAGTAATGGGAAATATTTATGTGCGAAAGCAATCAAAGCAATTCGGTTAATCAATCAAATATGTGTGTCTGTATGGATGTAACCATTCTTAAAACAGTCATAACATGAATCAATTCTTCACAACAATTGTCAATCCATCTCCAGTTCTTAAGAGAGAAATTCGAACAGAGTTATCTCTAGCTATCAATGCATTCATTTCTCTTATACCGACAGTTTCAGAGCTGTTATTATTCGCGTCGAGCACACGCTGCCTCCATAGAACCTGGAGAAAAAATAATGATCAAAAAGGTATGGAAAACAATTATCAAATGCGCTTTGATAGCATCGTAATCATGTATCTCATTCATACACGAGAAATTTTATTTTCTGTCACATTTCAAATAACCCTCATCGGACCATAGAAGGTTCCTTTGATTTGGTGATTGGTTTCATCCAATTTATCGGGCCAACGTTCATAACCCTGTTCTTCCAAGCTTTATCAAACCAGACATACAGATTTTACGGATAGACAACCGAAAACTTAAAATCTGGAATTTGTGTCTCAAGCTCTGAAGAGTTTTGAATGCAGTATGTGGTTTTAAACCGGAAGTCAAAATCACCCTGAACGCTGATATCTAAAATATGAACCAAGGGATTGAAAAGAGCTGCTGATAAGCATAGTGGATCTTCTGTATTATGTAATTCAGCTGTCAAAATAAGAATTTACAATAAATGCAACGAAACTCAGAAGAAGGAGAAGATTGATTCAACGAAATTTTCACTTCTCACTTTATAAATGTTAGGGACGGAAACAGAGAGATGGTGAATAAGGATGAGTGAAATCTGGTGCGACCAAAAGATGACAACTCATCATGTCATCAAGAAGTAAATTGTTGATAAGCGTCATATAGAATGGTTCAGACACTGTGGTTAGAATCTATAAGATAATCAATATTCTATGACAGATTATTATCAACAATAAAACTGTGACCATTCAAATAACAAGATCATTTGAAGGCACCAGTCAGTAATGTTTGCTTAGGATTATTAGAACAGACCAACTTATAATTCCCTCTACGCAATAACTTCCAATCAGTGGATCTAAGATAAATTATTCATACATATATGTGATAAACTGATTCAAATTAGTTTAAAATATAAGGCTATCATTCAGCAGAAGGTGTACAACTACAGTCATTTATTTTATTAACATTATACTTCACACTTCATCGAATATGTGGAATATTCCCTCGACAATTTATGAAATGTAGAATCAGTTTTAAGGGCGAGATATTTCCAAACAGAAGGTTCATTAATAGTCATTAAAAGATCAATTCGTCATGAAAGTTGACTTCAAATGTATTGAGATACATAGAACATATGCTCGTAAATAAAACAAACTTACATTATCAATGGCGATGATTCCACGAGGTCGAACTAGTTTTAAACATAGTTCATAATAATTACTATAGTTTTCTTTATCACCATCGATCAGAGCAAAATCGAATGTTTCACTCTCTCCATTATCAATCAAACTTTCTGTTGGCACAACAGTTCAATTAAATATAAAATGTTCAGTTACCAAATCAATAAATAGTTTACGACAAACCTGTTATCAAACTGAACGTACTTACATACATCCAACTGTTATCGAATACTAACCGAATAAATATATGTGCCGGCGCAGTAGTCTAGAGTTTAATAATTCGTGCACGAGACTGAGAGTGCTGGGTTCGAGTCCTTCATGGATGATCGTGAATACGCACTCTTGAGGAATCTCATACCGCTTCCAGTTTTTCAGTGATGGTCTAACATCCATCGATTCGTGATTTCAATCAAAATGAAATCCTTTTTTCATACCTCCGATCCACTTACACGCAATAGATACAATCTGTCTTCCTAACATACATTTCGTCACACACGTTACATGTATCTCATACACACTACAGAAGATACTTCCTTCAAATGTCATTAATATGATTGAACGATCTATTTGGCATACAGTTTTTCGAGCAAAACACTGGACTCAATCACAGAGATCTTACCAATATATTCCTTCTCTTCAATGTCACGCATTATCTCGGTGCACAAACACTGTGAACCTACTACTTCAAATTTAGACGGAAATTCTCATATAATTTGAAGTGATTTCAAAAAGTGTCATGCAATCTAAACAAGACCTGATAATGTTGTCTAGTGCAAACATTATAGCTTCTCGCATACATCATGTACATTATAGGAGGGAACTTCATCAAACATATCAATAATGCACTTAGAACTAATGGACATACAGATACAATAAACTGGTCAGCATTTTTCAATAGTCTGTACAAGTGGTTAACTCAGACAATATTTAAACCAAAGGATATCGAAACCGATATCAATGAAAGTTGTTTGCAGTTCAGTCATTTGATATTTATGTATTTCTGACCACTCCACTAATACTTCTTAATCAGAAGATTGCTTGTAGATTCCGTCCACATTAACCAACATTCCATTATTTACAACTACCTTAAACAGAACTGTAGCATGAATTCCACATATATTATCTTTTTCCAAAACCAATCAGATAGTATTGCTGACACTAGTGAACACATCAGTAACCTGATGACAAACTGCTTATCACCATGGATATTCTATGCTAAAACATTGACTGTACATCTGTATTTTGTTTTTCTTGAAAATAATATACGACACCATATGATCAGACTTACGTAGAGTATCAACAGCTGGACCGAGTTGGAAATCAACTTTCGATTCTATACCTGCTTTCTTCCATGCTGGCAAACAATAGTCTTTCAAATATTCATCTGTTATTTCCATGGTTAATACACGCCCATTTGATGGCAATACTTCCGCGATAGACAATGCACTATATCCAGTATAAGTTCCTAAATTCATTTTAAAATAAATGGAAACATACCGTATTCATAGTCAACAGGCCTGTGATGGAAGGAAAGTTCACAGTTTCAGGACAGGCAGTCATTGTTTGCATATTCAGTTCATCTTAATACTTCCACATTCGCCTTCAGTACACAATAGAATCCGTTTATGTGGAGACAGGTTCATGCACTACTCACCACTGCGTTACACGTTTCACAATACTCATTATTTATTTATGTAAATAATACAACGTTCGATTTTCCACACTTTGACATAACAATCTTTTCTCTCAAGAGATTGACTACGCTTATGTAGGACGATGCACACATCTTGGAATCCACTACCAGTCATCATCCAACTCTACTTAGAATCGGTGACTGAATGACGATACGGTTGCAAACCAGACTGATCAATTACAACACTCAACATCAACAACGGCTAAATGAAAACTATTTCAAAATAAAATTCACAACCGTTGAACAATCTACTGACTATTTGAACTCAATACATCAGTAGATCATGTGTTGGTGCTCGAAACGAAAGGTACTTGCTTCGAATTTCCATGCGAATATTAATTACACCATGCAAAAGCATCCAGCTGACGTGTCTCAAATGCAATGAAATCAGTGTTCCAGTCTTCACTTCCAGACCAATATACAAGTCAACTACGAATGTGTTGTTGATATATGGTATCAACATAGTTGCTTCAAGATAATTCGCTCAGTCATTCAACTCTATCCGAATAGACACTTGTAATCAGTCAGTAATGGATGACTCTGTCCTTCCACTTTTTGAACTCTCCATACATGATTTGTGCATTCACGAATTCCACAACCGCTCTGAAATACAATACTCACTGAAGTAAGACGAAAGATAGAAAACAGCATCCAATCGCCTTAATCGTCTTCAAATGGTCAGTCAGCTACAACGTAGGACCAGGCAGATAAATGCATCGGTCCAAGTTGCCATACCTCATTAACACAAAAAGATGGACACCGGATTCATAAAAGTAGTTAATTCAGAGGTGTTAATATATAAGACAAAGATTGCAATAAGGATATAATACAGGAAGAAAGAATTAGTTCATAGAAAATAAGATATGAAGCAATTTTAATCTCTTAGTTTAAGGGAAGACAGGGAGTGTATACACCGACGCCATTGTGATCGATTCTGAGCCATGTCACCCAGAGTCTCCAACCGTTGGTTACGATAGTTACGCGAACCCCAACCAAGTAGCCTGCATCTACCAACATGGCTCAGACTACAAGTTAGTGACTTCAAGCACTGATGCCAAGTTTTGGTTTGGCCGCTCCTAACCGTCTTTCAACCATCCCCAACACTAGTCAACATTGCACGTCGTGGTAATCGGTGTTCGGGCATACGTAACACGTGGCCCAACCATCTCAGTCGATGAAGATTCACAACCTCATCAACTGATTTACCATCATTCCCTAATACCCTGCATCTAACCTCACTATTATTTACCCGGTGATCGCAGCGGATGTTGGCAATATTTCTAAGGCATCTGTAGTCAAATACTAGTAGCTTGCGAATATCTTCTACTCTTAATGGCCATGTTTCGCTGCCGTAAATTAAAACAGGACGAACTGCCGCGCAGTATACTCGTCTCGCCTTCGCCAAAAGTGACGTAAGTTGGCAAAAGCCAAACGAGATTTTCGAATCCGTGCTGAGACTTCGTCCGATACCAACCTATTAGGGCAGATCAGACTTCCAAAATAAGTGAAGTTGTCAACGCGTTCGACTACTTCACTCCCTATCCTTAGTTCAGGTGTTGGCGCAGGCCAGTCCTGAAGCAACAACTTGCATTTCGAGGGAGAGAAGCGCATTCCAAACATTCTGGCATTGTTGTTACCAAAAGACTCTGCATTTTGTCAGCGTCTTCATCAAACAGGACTATGTCATCTGCGTATTCTAAGTCGATAAGTGGACCTCCTGGAAGGAGATCAATAACCGAGAATTCAGTCGACGAGAATGTTATTTCCATCAATAGGTCTATGATGAAGTTAAACAAAAATGGAGAAAGTGGACAGCCTTGACGGACACCGCTTGAGGTTGCAAAAGTAGATGACAGTTCGCCATAAGCTCTGACTCGACTGGTAGTGTTCGAGTAAAGAGCCTTCACAAGGTTTATGTACTTCTGAGGTACGCCATCCAATGACAGATACTGCCACAGAATCTCGCGGTCTACCGAATCAAATGCTGCTTTTAAGTCATGAAAGAACACCATCGTCGGACGCCGATAAGTATGCCTATGTTCTGGAACCTGACGAATGGTGAATATGTGGTCGATGGAGCCACGACCAGGTCTGAAGCCAGCTTGATTCTCTCGTGTTTGCAGTTCACGAGTCTTAGGCGTCTGATGATTATCGAGGCTAGTATTTTAGATACTATATTAGTTAAACTAATTTCTTTATGGTTGTCACAGGATGATTTCAACCCTCTCTTATATATTGGGACGATAAGTGATTGTGACCAGTCAGATGGAATAACGTCTAACTCCCAGATTTTAGCTAAAATATTAGTCAACCTAATCGCTAAAATTGGACCACCATCCTTAAAGACCTCTGGAGCCAATCCATCTGGACCAGCTGCCCTTCCTCGTTTCAGATTAACTATAGCCTTTTGAACTTCAGCAAGAGTTGGGGTCCTACTTCAATGTTCCATTCACACTGTCTGGGAATGGAGAGTAGTTGTAGAGTAGCTGAAGGCCAGTTGAACTGTTCTCTGAAATGCTCCGCCCATCGTTCTAAACGCCTGGACTGGGAGCAGATGAGGGTGTCGTCTTTTTCTGAAATAGTCTGACTTACACTTGATTTATTAATTCCAGTTTCTTTTATTAGTTTGTAGAGCTGTCTTGTGTTCCCTATAGCCGCCGCCTTTTCCATCCCTTTTGCTTTCGTTGCCCACCACTGCTCACGGTCGTTCCTTAGACTTTTGGTTAACCTAGGTCTGATTTGTTTTCGCTCTTCATCGTGTTCAGAGCCTGATGGGATGAGTTTACGAGAATCCATCAGTGCAATAGACCTAGAGGAAATCCATTGGTTTTTTGTAACCCTGTGGTTTATATCACTAATAGATGACACTGCTGTTCCCACAGCTGTTTGTATAGCTTTCAAAGCAACACCTGGGTCAACCTCGTTTTCAGAACTACCTAATTGTGACCTCAGTTGTTCCTGGAACCTACTTTTGCTTTTCTCGCTTCTCAATTCAGTTGTAATGGGTCTTTTTACTGTGGCTTTTTGCGTCCAGTGAGGCGCAAGCAGATGCGTGCCCGTATTAGGGCGTGGTCGGAGTCCAAGCAGGTACTCCAGAATGAGCGACAATCTTCTACCGACCCTCTCCGACGATGACTGATGGCAATATGGTCTATTTGAGTCCATCGTTGATCTGGTGTAGGGGGTCGCCACGTTAGACGATGTCTCTCTTTATGCTTAAAATTTGTGTTTGCTAAAAATAAACGATTGTCTGAGCACATTTGCAGCAGACAATCACTATTATCTGTTCGTTGTGCCGGAATACTAAAATACCCACCTAAATGCCTTTCTGTTTGGTTTAAACTACCTATTTGGGTATTAAAGTCACCTGCTACGAGTACTATGTCTGAACGTTTAGCTTTCTGCAAAAGTTCGGACAGCTTTCTATAAAATTCATCTTTCACTTCATCTGAGCTGCAGTCGGTGGGAGTGTAGGCAGAAACGACAAAAAGGCAACGACGTGTGTCCCTGTCCTTCCGAGTTCTTACGGAGCCGTTTAGCCGAACAGCACATAGACGACTGTTGACGGGGATCCACTCTAGCAGTGCTTGTTCCGCCCTCATGCTTAGTGCTATGCCTACACCTGCCAGTCCACGAGAACTGGCCATAGGGTCCGTAGGGTGTATCTTGTTGGCTCTCCGTGTTGCCGAGGTGAGGTCAAGTGAATGACCACACTGAGATCCTGTATGTGTGTTTCAGAGACGCAGCATACATCAATGATACGAGATTCTAGGGTTCTAGCCAAGGAAGCCTGTTGACCGATTTGACATAGTGTGCGTACGTTGAAGGCTCCAATGTGTAGTTTGGAGCGAGGTTTCAGTAGACCTGGCACAGTGTTTTGCTCACTAGAATCGTTGGCTATGGTGACACTTGAGGAGGAAGCCGAGAGAGGAAGTTTAGAGTTGAAAGTCGATTTGGGAGGAATAATAGGAATTGAAGAGGAAGGTTGATCATGAATACAGTGGTCTTGAGTGCTGTTAGAGGTATAGGGGCGGTTATCACTTCCTGGTTGCCCACACCGTGGAAGGGTTGTTCTGGAGGTACCTGAAAAGGAAATTGGATTAGAGGTGGTCTTAGTGACCTGAGAGCGTGACCGCAGTGCCCAAGAGACAACTGCTTGAGGTCGGTCACACACGACCTTTTTATGGGTAATTTTTGTGTTAGCTCCGGACTTGTTGAGACCTTACCGCCGGAGACGGATATCCTTGGGATAAGGCGAGGTGTGCATTTTTAGGGTCGACCTTTTCTAACCCCACCCCTCCTTGTGGGAAGGCAGCATCGCTGTCATGCTGGTTGTCTGAAGGAAACACCTTCTGCTGTCACACCTCTGTACAGTCAGCAGTACGACTTCGCTTTCGGACCTTGGGTTTGTTGCTTTTAGTCTTACCGCTCTTCAACCGACCTGTCTGACATGGTAGGACCTTGAAGAACGGTTGTTCCAGCCAGTATAGCTCGGTTGCTTCATCACGATAGGCAAGCCCGACCAGCATTTCAAGGTAGCAACAACGGTCGGGGTCGGGTCTTCAAATGGTAGAGATAATGAACAATGTTCTTCAAATAGAATGTATATATATTTATGCTTGTAAACAAATCCACATAAACCTCGTACTTACCAACATCAAGTGTCTTTCTAGCATTTATCGCATAACACAAATTTGATAGAAGTTGCATTTCTATGCTGGAGATAAGCATAATTGACAGTGGATGTTTACTGGTCTCCTACAATACATTTAAAGATGATAATTGTGGTGATTACTTGTAATAACCACTTTTGTGCTTCAGACAGACGTAGTGAATGGTCACATATATACTGATGAAGTTTGTCTGCTCTTTTGGTACAACCATATTTGGTTACTGACTTTGGACTGGTAAGGTCAGTCATTTTTGTAATTAGCTGTGCTGAAACAAACTGAACGTACGTACAACATTGATTTTCTAAGGTTAATAACAAATATTCAGTGATGTGATGATTATTTACCACTAAGACATTTATGTTATGTTTCCCTTTGAACTGAATTGAAAGAATGTAAGATGTTCAAATTACTTACTTACGCCCGTTACTCCTAATGGAGCATAGGCCGCCGACAAGCATTCTCCAACCCACTCTGTCCTGGGCCTTCTCTTCCAGTTCCATCCGATTCTTGTTCATTTTACTCATGTTTATTTCCATTTCCCGGCGTACTGTGTTCTTTGGTCTTCCTCTTTTCCTTTGACCTTGAGAATTCCATGTGAGGGCTTGTCTTGTGACGCAGTTGGGTGCTTTTCACAATGTGTTTCCGATCCACTTTCAGTGCTTCTTCTTGAATTATTCCTCCGCTGGGATCTGGTTTGTTCTCTCCCATAGTATGTTGTTGCTAATAGTGTCTGGCCAACGGATCCAAAGTATTTTGCGTAGACAACTGTGAATAAACACTTGTATCTTCCGGATGTTCAAATAGAAAACGCACTTAATGATTAAATTGAATAATATTAAGTTATCGAATTTTTAATAGTGACTTATATTGAAATTCCTGGCAAGCGTTTTGCCCATGATTCTGTAAATGACAAGCTGTTCATAGAGTGGTCGTTACTTGACTTTGATTTCAGTGTGAATGTCGTTGACATGATACACTTATTTTCAGCTCAATGTTCATAACAAGAACGAAATCCTCCCGTGTAGCTACTAGTAATTTATGATCTAATAATCCCTTCTGAGCCGTTGTGTTATAGACAAACACAGATAAAATGGAAAGTAATTCTAGATAAAACAGACTGATTTGTGCATTTGAGCTATTAATTAGACTATGCTGTGCTATTTATAAACGATTATAACCAATGAATGAGTGATCAAGTCTCTCACGAACAACTGAGCTAGACTGATAAATTACGCTTCGGATTCATTTTTGCACTTACGTGAACACGTAAGGCACTCGAAATGGCTGTGAGGAAGCGTTTGGCGATTCGGATAAATAAATAAATTGATTTGATTAAGTAGCACGTTGACAGCTTGCGCTATTCAAAAGGAGAGAGGTATTGTTTCTCGTCAAGTTAAATTAACTGTTTTGATCGGAAACGCAGAAGAGTAGGGAAGATAGCCACAACGAATGCCCATTTACTTGATAAGTCCTTGGTGGACTCACAGACTACTTCACGAAAGTCCCAAAGTAAAGCCTCGTCAAACATTGTTGTGAGTCACTCGCTCGACTCCCATTACTCTGTTACAATAAAAACTAATCTTAAGACGCCAGTAGTTATTATGCAGGATCTAACAGGTGACTGAGGGAACTGTCCCTCTGTTGGTAATTAACCTCAAACCTTGTAGGATGCCGGGCCCTGACGGGTTACATCCACGGTTGCTGTCATCTCTGGCGGACATTATTTCAAAACCGCTCAGGACACTCTTCAACATGTCCCTCTCACTCGCTCAACTCCCTAGAGATTGGAAAGACGTTACAGTCAGTCCTATATTTAAGGATGATCTGAGACAGATCATATCTAACTACCGACCTGTTAGTCTAACTAGCATTGTCGTTAAGTTACTTGTAAAGATAATTCGGGTTAGGTTGCTAAGCCACGTAGATTCACACAATCTGTTAGCTCCTGAGCAACACGGATTTCGTAACAAGCGTTGATGCTTGACTAACTTGCTTATTGCGAGAGAGGATTGGACAGCAGCCTTAGATAAATATCTGTCTGTCGATGTGACATTCATAGATTTTAGCAAAGCATTCGACAAGTTTTCACACTTAGGTCTTATGCAAAAGCTCACGAACTTCGGAATAATAGGTACTGTACAGGAGTGGATAGGAAACTTCTTATGTGACCGCAGACAGAGAGTGAGGGTCAACGAAACGCTATCCGAGTGGAAGCCGGTCAAAAGTGGTGTACCCCAAGGCACCATCTCAGGCCCTCTGCTCTTCCTTCTCTTCATTAATGAGTTACCGCTGTTGCTTAGGTCGTCGACATTATTGTTTGCGGTTGACGTTAAAATCTGGAGAACAATAAAAAGTGCGGTTGATCATCTAAATCTTCAAGCTGACTCAGACGATTTGGTAAGATGGGCTCGAGAGTGGGGCTTACAAATCAATGCTAAGAAGAGTGTGCTAATGCATATCGGCCACGGTAATAGTTACCATTATACTATTGACGGTAAACCTCTTCCATGCGTTCAAGAACATAAAGACTTAGGAGTAGTATTAAGTCATGATTTAAAAACAACTACGCATTGCAAAGCAGCCGCTGTCAAAGGTTTTCGTGCGTTATGTATTCCCATATATGTGAGACCACATTTAGAGTGCTGTATCCAAGCAGCAAGCCCGTGTCTGGTAAAGGATACTAACTCACTCGAGTGTGCCTAGTGTGTGAAAACGAAATTAGTGAGGGGTCTTTCTAAGCTCCCCTACAATGAGCGTTTAAAACACCTTAACTTTTCCCCTTGTTGTATCGTAGGACGCGAGGTGACCTTATACTGGCATTTCTTATCTTGAATTATGATTTGGGTGTTAATATGTCTAATTTTTTTGCTCCCCTCAGCACTAATAATCTCCGAGGTCATAGCAAGAAGGTTCATAAAGCACGATCTCATAGACTTAAAGTGATGTTCCGTTATTCTCATCGAGTGGTCAATGACTGCAACGCCTTACCCGAACAAGTGGTATCAGCCTCATCAGTGAATATTTTCAAGGAGAAGCTACACCTTCACTGGAAGGCAATGTGTCAGGATTAACACAGGTTCACCAACCTACTATTCTTATTACTGAAGACTTCACTTGAATCAGTATACTTGTATCCAACGCGTGAAACATTGTAGATCACCAACGTAGACGATCTATGTCGAAAATGATTGCAGGCCTACTCGAGTTAGACGTGAATGGTGTGACAAACTAGCTAACGTCGAAGTCACACCTCATGGTCAGCACCTTACGTGGACTACCCCATTAACATACCAAGGTAACATAGATGATTTGAAGACTGTACAACACAGGGGACGTCGTTACTGAAATATATTAGTTAAAGTAGATACAAGCGAAAGTGAGACCACTGCCGCATGGGCTAGTCCATGGTACACGATTAACTGATGCGCGTTGGTTGTCACTGACCTTGACGAGGATCGATGGTTTGCTCGATATCCAGTGACCCAACTGCCGGATGATTTGGCTATGGCTTAGTGACATTTCGCTGGCGCTACAACATAATATCTGTCCAGTGATTTAATTAACGGAAATAAATATTAACTGCTTATGTTAACGTTCTTTTTCCTTCACATGATACAAACCAGTGAAGAAAGCATAATTTATATTGTTATTCGTTTGACACGGCGTTAATTACCACAAAAGTACACATCTACTGGCTTACACTACCATCAACCTTTCGAAAATTGATCAACATGTAGCTGAGAACAATATCAAGGCATCTGCTCAATGATCTTCCTCCCACAAGATACAAACTAGTAAAGAGAGTATAATTTATATTGTTATTCGTTTGATATTTCAGATGCTTTCGTATGAACAACTAATCCACAACGTGTGAAACTAACAATCAAGTGTCAGTTGAACAAGATGACAAACCAACATGGAACAGCAATCCAACTGCGAATGCAATCAATACAGTCATTCAAATTTGATAAACGTTGCTTACATAATATAGAGCATTATAATCGTGGACACGTTTTAGTCTATATGTTCAAAGCTGACTTATGGTAAAACCATTGACGATATTATATATTTTAACATGACGGACAGTTGGATGACGTTTATAAATCTTTACTTAAATAGAGAAAGTAAAGTTCTTGACTAAATTTAGTTGAGTACAATTATTTGATAACCGATAGTCAATCATTTCTCTGCGATAGAATGTTAACGTGTGTCGAGACTCTATTTATCAGGCTTGTGTGAATTTCTCACATAGATAGACGCTATTTTCGACCATACAGCTTATGGATAAAACACTCACCAACCGTTAGCGGTATCAAACGAACAAAACTGAATCCTACAAAAGTGTTGTTCCAAGGTCACTGAGGTTAGCTTACACACTTCGATGTTGTAAAACAACTCTTTTAGTATTTTTGATAGCAAATTTATCGGACTTGAAATTGAGTGCTTATGAGCAAAGATTCTTCTTATAGCTATCTAAGAGGTGAAGTGGTGTTTTTTGGTTGTCTGGTTAGTATTTTATATTTGATTGTATCCTTTGTTGTACAAGATTCTTTCATAATTACTTAGATTTGATTTACCAGTTGAGGATGCATGAACACGTTACCGCGAGTTATACGAAGAAGTAACGCAACCGTTTGTAATCAAAACATATGAAGTATCACCGTCTGTGGACAGACCAGGCTGTTTATAAAAACGAATGGAGAAGCGTTGGAACGTGCATGTCTTGGCACTGCAGGTCGACACAGGTCGAACAGCTGGGAGAAAACTTAAGACCAGTCGGCCTATTCTCTAATCAAGTGGTTGAAAGACTCCTCTCGTACAGAAATCCTGGTCCATCCTTTCTAGTTCTATCTAGTTGTTGCTCATTCTTCACACGTCTATCTCGAAGTAACGTCTTCTCTGCTCTGCCCCTTCTTCTCCTTTGGCCTTGAGGACTTGCCTTGTGACGCCGCTGAGTACTTTTCTCAATGTGTGTCCTGTCCACTTCCAGCGCATCTTCCTGATTTCTTCCTCCGCTGAAATCTGGTTTTTTTCTCTCACACGGTAAGTTGTTGCTGGCAATGTTTGACCAACGGATCGGAAGTATTTTGTGTAAACCACTGACAACAAACACCTGTATCTTGTGGATGATGGTTTTCGCAGTTCTCCAAGTTTCCGTCCCGCACAGTAAAACAGTCTTGACATTTGCATTTTCATTAATATTTTAACAACGATATTTATTTCGTTAGACTTCTGATATAATCCGGATCGATTACTTCGATTTGTCTAATCTCGTAAACATCAGGATTCATCAGTAGCAACAAGTGAGTAATATTCAATCTATCATGATCGCCTAATGAAAAAATGCCACAGAAATTGTACACTCATTTTGTGATCATCTCATTTCACACAGATCGTGTACGAACATAGAACTATCCACTAACTGGAGACTGTGAAACCAACAACCATTAGTCAATAAATCATTATGTCACATTAAATCCATGCTCAGTGGTTCATGACCTACGGTAAGCACCATGAAGTTTAAAAGGTTTCAAATCGAAAAATCATGTCAACAACATTAGACATTTTAGTGTTATCTTATATTTATGATCGAAATGAGGTACGTTATACATCTAACGGCACTCAAACGTACAGAACCCCATGTTCTGAGTAGAATGGAAACGCTTCGGCCACTGGAGTTGTCGTAGTGCCCATCTCATATGTTTCTTGATTTTTAACGGGATAGTCAGACGAGTGTATCACGTGGTCAAATATTGTGATTTATTGATCTAGCTACCATTCTTGTGTCAAGTCTTCGTATTGAGTAATCTTGCACTGCATAAAGCTGAGAACAGCAAGCTTATTTCTTCCCATGGTTAAATCCTAATCTCTCAACTTTGGGGAAACTTCAGCAAATTTGAGAAAGTCATATTGGAAATTTCAGGGATTTACTGTGGGAAAAGTGGGATTAAAAATGCCACAAGTTTCCACTGACCTCTAGTTAGTCATTACATCCCCTCATATTTCCTCAGACTATAAAAAGAATCCCAGAATACTACGAATTTCCTCACATTTGAGCGATTCAGACATGTTTAGTGCCAATTACAAAATGATTGAAACGGTATGTAATATACAGAAACCCTTCAGGGAAATGTTTGATTACAACAACATACATATGCAGTGATGATTGAAAATGACAACATAGTAATGGGAAATATTTATGTGAGATAGCAATCAAAGCAATTCGGTTTATCAATCAAATGTATTTATGTCTGTATGGATGTACCCATTCTGAAAACAGTCATAACATGAATCAATTCTTCACAACAATTGTCAACCCATCTCCAGTTCTTCAGAGAGAAATCCGAACGGAGTTATCTCTAGCTATCAATGCATTCATTTCTCTTATACCGACAGTTTCAGAGCTGTTATCATTCTCGTCGAGCACACGCTCCCTCCGTAGAACCTGGAGAAAAAATAATGATCAAAAAGGTATGGAAAACAATTATCAAATGCGCTTTGATAGCATCGTAATCATGTATCTCATTCATACACGAGAAATTTTATTTTCTGTCACATTTCAAATAACCCTCATCGGACCATAGAAGGTTCCTTTGATTTGGTGATTGGTTTCATCCAATTTATCGGGCCAACGTTCATAACCCTTGTTCTTCCAAGTTTTATCAAACCAGACATACAGATTTTACGGATAGACAACCGAAAACATAAAATCTGGAATTTGTGTCTCAAGCTCTGAAGAGTTTCGATTGCAGTATGGAGTTTTAAACCGGAAGTCAAAATCACCCTGAACGCTGATATCTAAAATATGAACCAAGGGATTGAAAAGAGCTGCTGATAAGCATAGTGGATCTTCTGTATTATGTAATTCAGCTGTCAAAATAAGAATTTACAATAAATGCAACGAAACTCAGAAGAAGGAGAAGATTGATTCAACGAAATTTTCACTTCTCACTTTATAAATGTTAGGGACGGAAACAGAGAGATGGTGAATAAGGATGAGTGAAATCTGGGTGCGACCAAAAGATGACAACTCATCATGTCATCAAGAAGTAAATTGTTGATAAGCGTCATATAGAATGGTTCAGACACTGTGGTTAGAATCTATAAGATAATCAATATTCTATGACAGATTATTATCAACAATAAAACTGTGACCATTCAAATAACAAGATCATTTGAAGGCACCAGTCAGTAATGTTTGCTTAGGATTATTAGAACAGACCAACTTATAATTCCCTCTACGCAATAACTTCCAATCAGTGGATCTAAGATAAATTATTCATACATATATGTGATAAACTGATTCAATTTAGTTTAAAATATAAGGCTATCATTCAGCAGAAGGTGTACAACTACAGTCATTTATTATTATTATTATACTTCACACTTCATCGAATATGTGGAATATTCCCTCGACAATTTATGAAATGTAGAATCAGTTTTAAGGGCGAGATATTTCCAAACAGAAGGTTCATTAATAGTCATTAAAAGATCAATTCGTCATGAAAGTTGACTTCAAATGTATTGAGATACATAGAACATATGCTCGTAAATAAAACAAACTTACATTATCAATGGCGATGATTCCACGAGGTCGAACTAGTTTTAAACATAGTTCATAATAATTACTATAGTTTTCTTTATCAGCATCGATCAGGGCAAAATCGAATGTTTCACTCTCTCCATTATCAATCAAACTTTCTGTTGGCACAACAGTTCAATTAAAATGTAAAATTATCAGTATAGGGGTTGTGGAGACTGTTAAGCTTTTGATTGAGATCATGAATCAATTGATGTTAGACCACCGTTGGAAACCTGGAAGCACTGGACGGCCGTTTCGTCCTAGCATGGGACTCCTCAGCAGTGCGCATCCACGATCCCGCTCCCCGCGAGATTCGAACCCAGGACCTATCGGTCTCGCGCCAGGCGCTTAACCAATAAATAAAATATAAAATGTTCAGTTACCAAATCAATAAATAGTTTACGACAAACCTGTTATCAAACTGAACGTACTTACATACATCCAACTGTTATCGAATACTAACCGAATAAATATATGTGCCGGCGCAGTAGTCTAGAGTTTAATAATTCGTGCACGAGACTGAGAGTGCTGGGTTCGAGTCCTTCATGGATGATCGTGAATACGCACTCTTGAGGAATCTCATACCGCTTCCAGTTTTTCAGTGATGGTCTAACATCCATCGATTCGTGATTTCAATCAAAATGAAATCCTTTTTTCATACCTCCGATCCACTTACACACAATACTTACAGCCTGTTTCTTTAACACACATTTCGTCACACACGTTACATGTATCTCATACACACTACAGAAGATACTTCCTTCAAATGTCATTAATATGATTGAACGATCTATTTGGCATACAGTTTTTCGAGCAAAACACTGGACTCAATCACAGAGATCTTACCAATATATTCCTTCTCTTCAATGTCACGCATTATCTCGGTGCACAAACACTGTGAACCTACTACTTCAAATTTAGACGGAAATTCTCATATAATTTGAAGTGATTTCAAAAAGTGTCATGCAATCTAAACAAGACCTGATAATGTTGTCTAGTGCAAACATTATAGCTTCTCGCATACATCATGTACATTATAGGAGGGAACTTCATCAAACATATCAATAATGCACTTAGAACTAATGGACATACAGATACAATAAACTGGTCAGCATTTTTCAATAGTCTGTACAAGTGGTTAACTCAGACAATATTTAAACCAAAGGATATCGAAACCGATATCAATGAAAGTTGTTTGCAGTTCAGTCATTTGATATTTATGTATTTCTGACCACTCCACTAATACTTCTTAATCAGAAGATTGCTTGTAGATTCCGTCCACATTAACCAACATTCCATTATTTACAACTACCTTAAACAGAACTGTAGCATGAATTCCACATATATTATCTTTTTCCAAAACCAATCAGATAGTATTGCTGACACTAGTGAACACATCAGTAACCTGATGACAAACTGCTTATCACCATGGATATTCTATGCTAAAACATTGACTGTACATCTGTATTTTGTTTTTCTTGAAAATAATATACGACACCATATGATCAGACTTACGTAGAGTATCAACAGCTGGACCGAGTTGGAAATCAACTTTCGATTCTATACCTGCTTTCTTCCATGCTGGCAAACAATAGTCTTTCAAATATTCATCTGTTATTTCCATGGTTAATACACGCCCATTTGATGGCAATACTTCCGCGATAGACAATGCACTATATCCAGTATAAGTTCCTAAATTCATTTTAAAATAAATGGAAACATACCGTATTCATAGTCAA